TTGCCCCCCCCCCCCCCCTTTACTACTCTCTAAACTTTTGTCGGAAAAGTTTTATTTTAAAAACTAACAAATATCAAATTACTCAATAGAGTTTTCCATACTGATTTTAAATATATTTTTATTTCTCTCTTAAAGTACTTTTGGGATAAAACCACATGGAAAACCTGTATCTCAATCCAGAAGCATTGACGCATCTTTAAGCTAACTTAAGTAGACGTGTCAAATAGAGAAAACATTCTGTGAAAGTTTTATTGTATTTGAAACTGTGTTAAAGTGTGCAGACAAATTACGCAAAATATAGCTTTTTAGAAAACTCTCAATTGAGACATCATGCAGACCTTTTTCAAAAAAAAGTTTTTCATATGACATGATAAAGAAAGAACCCTATGATTTATACTATCTTTGGAAAAAGACACTTTCGTCTGAAATGACAGAAACTTGACCATTTTTCGAGTCTAGAATTTTTCCAAATCCTTAAAGAGCTATAATAATTTTTTTTTTGAATCAAAAGATTTGCTATTGGCCTACGTGTATTAGACATCATTCAAATTGTAAAAAAGATCATTTTCATTTTTCCATTAAATGTTCACATTGTTGCCCAATGTGCAATGTAATAAAGACAGAAAAATCATAAATGAATTTTTTAAAATTCATTTGTTGTTTTCTAGACTTTTTTTAAAAAACCGATAATAATGATTGTAATATATAATAGACTTATAATGATTTCAGAAGGAGAGAAAATGCAGTTTATATAGTGAAAAATGATTGTCGCCAGCATACGTGATAATGACTACATTTATGAAGACATAAGTTTTGACATATCTCACATATTAGCTAGAATTTATTACTCATATCATTCTTTAATAAAACTTGATCGCCTGAAAAAAAATGAATGTCTTTTTTTTTTGCCAAACTTTTAAAAGAATTATCAACTTAAACACCATACGGAAACAAAAAGAAGCTCGTTAAATGGATTACATATGCAAACAGCATCTATATCATACAAAGACAATACATATCTCAATCGAAAAATAAACAAATTCAAAACGATGTTGACATTCAATATTGAATGTTAGCCAATTGATACAATTGTGAATAACACATGAGAGAAAAATCAACTTTAGCAAACAACGCGCTCATCTTTGCTTTTTCTTTTTTTGTTGAACCAAGTACATCAAAACGAAATAACGATCAGCTATCGATATAATGTTACAAAGAATTTCTCGGATGTATTTAAACTACAAACAAAAACTAGTTACTTAATCAAAAGATCCTAGGTGATAGCCTCGACGGTAAAGCTATGAGTCCTGGATAGAGTCTATTAAATGTAAGAATTTTCTATTACAGTTTAATTTTCATTTTCTTATGACAGATGACACGTTGTTACAAAATCAGTGCACATTGCATCTTTTAAGTATATAAGAAGTTGACAGAACAATGCTTCTTGAATACAGTACATCATTTTCGTTATATTTGTCAATTCTCATAACGATAGCTACCACTGAACGATCTTCTGTACTATGAATTGAATAAAAGCATATTTATGTTGTGCCATGACTGAACAACATTTAAATCATTGTTACTATCTCTTATATTCATAAAAAAAAAATTAGATTTTCGTGATTTGAATAAAATCTGCTCTGATTGTATTGCTGAGTTAAGCAGCGTTTCTCAGCTACTTTTTTAGTTTCAGATTTCGTCCGAAGCAAAAACAAACGATAGTGTTTATCATTATAAACAGATAAAGAAATCCAATATTCACCATACTCTTCAGGCTAGTGTGGCTGAAATTGTCTCCTTGTCCCTGGATATTAGGGCAATGTCCTACGGTTTTAGAAGAAAATTCATGCAATATAGTATCAATGGCAGTAATTATTACGTTTTTTATTTGTTCTGTCGGGAGACCGGCGCTCAGCCTAGCCTATCCTTAGGTACGCCACTAACAAAATTCATCCATAATTATTACACTAAAGATATATTCTTTTCATCACTTGACAGTCCTTTCTACCATTCAGTATTTGTCTTCTCTACTCTTTATAATAAGCCGCATAGAACAATCGCGCGCGTCCTATTATCCAATAACCAATCAATATTAGCTCAACCAACTAAATGTACTAATTTCATTCGTTGATAGTTTTTTTCAAAGAAAGAAAGAAAGAAAGGAGAAGACCTCTGCGTATGTATATATTCGAAAAAAAAAAGAAAAAAGAAAAAAAAGCGAGAAGATTTATTTTTCTCTTCTTATTCCGGTCGTATGATACACATTCTCTTCTCATCTCATTGAATAAATGGACAACAAGGCAAAGAATAAAAAAAAAAAAAAAGAGTTGAATACGTATGTGAGCGAACGCGTCTGTACAGCAAGTTCATCGTCCTTCTCTTTTTCTTCTCCTTCGCGTCTTTTTTTTTTCTCTTTTTCTTCACACTGTGTTTGATGACTGACTGACCGTCGAAAGCAGTCGTTAGACATATATACAGTTCATATATACGTAAGCTTTCTATTAAAACTATTTTCTAGATAATGATACCATCAAGAAAACTAACTCTCGATCTTATAAATGAACATTTAATATGTCATCTTTGTTCAGGTTATTTAATTGACGCTTGGACAATCAATGAATGTTTACATTCATTTTGTCGTTCATGTATATTTTCATATTTTAATGATAATGATGATAATACAACATGTCCTGTATGTTCAACAGTTCCACATCCAGCTAATCCTTTACTTGGTATAACAAAAGATTGTTGGTTACAACAAATTGTTTATAAATTAGTACCATCATTATTTAAACGTGAAATGTGTCAAAGACGTATATATTATGATTCAAATCCTGAAAGTAAAATTAAATTAATTGAACAATATTCTAAAACACTTTCATCACAAATGGGTTGTCGTGAAGAAGAATTAGGTGAATTAAGTGAACGTTGTTTATTTCAACAAAAACATAAATATAATAATAAAGAAAATATATATATTACATTAGAATATAATGAAAATGATTTAAAAGATTTTCAACCTAAAACATCGATATTTTTTATTGAATGTTCATCAAATATGCCAATAAATATATTAAAACAATATTTAAAAAAAGTTTTACCTTTATCAAAACGAACACGTTATCAAATTGATATATTATATGAACAAAAAATTTTATTAGATAATTTAATATTAAATCATATTTATTCATGGAAACAAAATAAACATGAAAAATATAAACAATTACATTTATTCTATAGAATTATTATTATTGAACGTGAACAAAATGATTTATTATTAAAAAGTCCTATTAAAATTGAACAATCAACTACGAATAATATTCTTAATTTAAAAAATTCATCTGAAAATAATACAACAACAACAGTAAGTTTAATTTAATAAATTATTATCAAAATTTTTATAATCAATTTTATAGATTATATCAAAACCTGCTCCATTTGTTCGTTCAACTAATATTTATAATTCATTTGTTCATACAACACCATTTACACCAGCTGAAGCACGAACAATTAGTTTAAATAATTCAATAACTGAACAATTGCATGGTAATGAAACAACTGAATTAATTAAACCAAAAGAATGTACATTAATTGATTGTAAAACTTTTGCTATAACAACACCAATAAATTATTCAATGAATTCTATAAATGAAATTTCAAAAACAAAAAAAAGATTAAAAAAGTGAACTTTTATTTATTTTATGTTTAATTTTTTGAAGAAAAATTTGATTTTTTTTTTTGTTTTTCTAGATCAAATATAAATGAGCAATCCTTAATAAAAAAATCTAAAAATGAAAAAAATAAGAAAATTAAAGAAGAAAAATCTCTTCATTCATTATTACCAACAACTAATTTAATTATTCCATTAAATTCATCTCCATCAGAAAATGAAAATCCAAATGAAATAATCGAACAAAAACAATTATCATATTCAGAAATTATACAAGAAGCTAATAAACTTTTAGCTGCTGATGAATCATTAACATCAACAAATAATTCATCATCATTATTACCTTTAACAAATCCTATAACAACTCGTTTAACAAAACCAATTGCAACTGTTTCACCACTACATACATCAAAAACAAATCATAATCGTGTAATTGATAAAATTGATGATAATCAATTAATTGATTTATCAAAATCAAATATAACATCGTATGTTAAAGATTTATATAGATTCTATATTAATATTTTCTGTATTCATCATATTTAGAAATGATATTCCATTAAAAGTAGAAACAAATAATATTGAATCATCTGATAGAACAAAAAAACGTTCAAGAGAAATGTCTTCATCAACAACACGAACTAAAGTATCTCGTCATTCAAATAAATCAAATAATGATGAAACAAAATCATTGAAAAAATCTCATTCAAATATGCATACAAATCAATTTTTATCACTCCCACCACCACCAACAACAACATCACAACAACAACAACAACAACAACAACAACAACAAATGTTTCAAAATTTATTTCATTCATTTCAAAATCAAGCTAACTATTGGCCAATGAATCCATGGCCTGTACCTCCGTCTTTAGCACTTATTGCTGATCCTAGAAATTATTATACACAACCATGGCCTTCTCCTCAATCAACGATAGCACACGGTCCAAAAGATCTTAGTTCAGCAAGTTTAAATGATTTTATCGGTGAAACATCGAGTCCCGTTTTTCCTTTACCACCATCATCATCAGCATTATTAAATTCCGCATCAAATTTTTCACGTACAACATCATCAACCTCTTTACATCTTCATCATGGAACCAATCGACATCGACCGACTACGTTAAATGGTACATTATCTTGAAAAAGATAAAAAAAAAAAACAAATTTTCGTTCTAGCATTGTTTATATATATAAATGTATTTGTGTAAAATTATTTTTCTTCTAAAAAAAAAAAGCAACCCTAGTCAAACACTCCTGTATAAATCATACCCGTTCATATTCGGTGAATGAAAACAAAAAAAATAAATATATGTAATTATCCTTTTCAAATATGAAATTTAAAAAGAGCAACGCAGAAAAAACTAATTTTAAATAATATTGAACCATTTATATTATTGCCTATACATTTAACTTGTTTAGCAGGTAAACATTTTTGATGTTGAATAGAAAACCGATAACCATGTTCACATGCTGTATAATTGAATGTTCGACTTTCAAGACATGTATAATGAAATTGACAATTTGGTCGATATTGATCAACATAATTACCATTTGGTCTATCTCGACAAACAGGTTTAAATTCACATAATGGAGAATTATCATAATCACCTGAATAGATACAAGCAATAATAAAAGACGTTTTATTTCATAGGAAAAAAATAGAGGTACATAGGATTACGGTATCCTATACTGTAAGGTGAATTTGGAGTCCATCGAGTGCACGAATCTCGACAGCCGAATTCAGTTTATTGGACGTCTTCGACATTCAAATTTGAAGTCGATCCCAGTTAGTTGAACTCTATCTTGATAATCTGAATGAAATTTTCTAATCGGAATTGGATAATTGTCTGGACTATATGAGATACGTTTATCCGTTTTTTGGTATTCGATGATTAGCACACTCTACATATTTTTTGAACGACTAAAGCTCGTCGAATCCAAAATATTTAGATTTGCTCCCGGGACCAACCGTACTGACTCTACTAAGAATGAGAGTTAGAAAAATTTTTCTCAGTTAAAGTACGAACCAAGTTTACTCTGTATATCTTTAGCAAAAACTAAGAAGTTAAATCTTACAAGGATCGATACATTTTTTTCTTGAACCACAAGTAACAACTTGAAAATTTTCACAAGTTTTCGTTTCAACTGAATAAAGTTTATGTAAAGGACAAACTTGTTCTTTTAAATGACCATTAATACATTCATAATAATGACAACAACTATGTGTAGCTACAAAACGTAATCGTTGTCCGTTAGCTGGACATTTATGTTGACCTTCGAAAAGAAAAAACATCAAAGCTACATGTAAACATCAAATTCAATCTTTTACAATGAGGAACATCTTTTGGCCATTGACAACCAAGTTCTAAAAAAAAAATTAAACATAATAATAACATAGAATTCTGCACTTACTTTTATCCCAGAAAAGGCCAGCATCACAAAATGAAGGTTTATCAATACCACCTATTAAATGATAAAGTAATAAAATAAAATTTTTTATTTAACATACCATTGCAATAATGAAATGCTGAACAATCATATGGATCAGGAAAATACTCTTGAACACCTCTTGGACATTCAATAGGTACATAGACAGTAGCTGGTCGAGGTATACGAGGAGTTGTTATAGGATTTCCATCACCATCAACCATATTTGTTGCTACTGTTGATGATGGATGTAAAGTAACGGCTTTACCTATATGAATTTAAAAAAAAAGTAAAAAACATTTGTTTAATAAAAAGGAAAATGTATATATATATACAGTCTGATTTCTCTGGCCATTCACATCCTTCAGATGCTGTTGAAAACCAAAGATTGTCAGCACATTTTAGTACTGTATGTGCACCAATACCACAGTAATGATAAATATGACAATATTTTGGATCTAAAATAGATTTATTAAAATCTGAATTGAACTATAAAAAATAAAAATACCAGGAAAAAATCCTTCAGCATCATATTCACATGTAAAATTTGAATCAACTTTAATTGGTTGATTAGTTGTTGTTGATTTCTTTTTTGCTCGCCAAGCTAGAGCTGCATCAGTAGCAAATAGAGTTACTGAATTTTACAACAAGAATAAATTTCAAATAATAATTCAAAATGATTTATGGTCTTTTTTTACCGCCTCGAATATCTGTTATTTGATCCCATTTACGAAGACCTTTTTTACATTGAACAGTATTTTCCCAATTACAATTTTTCTTAACTGGATCCCACGATGTACCTTCACCACAAACAGCTGCTGTATCAACACCTGATGTACATATATGATATATTCGACAATTTTCTCGATCAGGATAATAACCATCCGCTATAAGTACACCATAAAATAAATGAAATTTATAAATAATAAAAAAAAACTTATACCTTTACAAACAAATGGAGTTTTGTCTCGTTTAATTCGATTTAATAGACCATCATCATCATCATCATCTTCATCAGGATTATAAAGATAAGAATTAGGTTTTGTTATAAGCAATTGAAAAATAATATTCGAATGTAATGTTGTCGTATCATTTTTCAAAGATGGAGGAAAAGTCGATTGGTATTGAGAAATAATATCAATCGATTTTTTCGATTCATATTTTTGTCTGATTACTTTTAATAGAAGATCTGATTCAGTTGAATTAGGTGAAAAATTTAAATTCACTAAAAGATAATAACTTTAGTCTGTAAAACTCAAAGATAAAATCATCTTTACCTATTACATAAATAATAAACCACCACGATAATTTTCTATCCATTGCTCATCCATTTCTTACATATATTCATTGACGAGTATAATATATGCTTTTAAATTCTAACGTGTCATTTGGTTTGTTGCTCATATAACCTTTTTCTTTATCAAGGTATGTATGTGCATGTATTGTTTAATTGGACTCGTACATACATACAAACAATAAACTATGCGAATATAATCACAACAATTTTATTCTATGTTTGTTTGAGGTCTTAGATCTTTTTCTTTTTCCTTCATTGTTACGTTATCTCTACTAGCCGGGAATGTAACAAACGAACGAGTGTGTAGAGCTCATTATAATGATGTAACTATACACGTCTTCTTTTTGTAAATAATCATCAAGATAGAGAACTGAATGTATTCAAGTTTCTAACGGTTTGAACTGATCAAAAATCAAATGATTTAATGTTATTCTTTTCTATGAAATGGTTTTCTTTTTGAATAGCTTAATACAATAACAGAATTTCATACATAGTAGAAGATATATTCTTTTTTATTGAACATAAAACTACCGCAATAGTAGACACATCAAATGATAGTAGAAAAAAAAACATGTTTAGAATAGAAAAAAGAAAAGTTTTGTTATTGAATTCATTGGAAATAAAAAATAACGAAGAAAATCATCGTCAAAAAGATTTGCATGAAACTTTCAAGATTTTGATGATCTATATCAAACAAAAATAAATCAATTTAATAAACGAATATTAAATAATGCATACTTTTCGTTGCAGTACTTCCAGGAACAAATGAACCACATGGCATTGGAGCATTACTTACTGGACCACATCTTCCTGTATAACTACTAAATTTTTGATCATTTGGACATTTTGCTTCACGCATTTTATTTTGTGATACACATTGATAATAAAAATGACAATCACGTTCTACGTCCGGATGAATACCATCACGTTTATTGATACCTATTTTATATTTTTATATAAAATAATTGATGAAATTATTTCATAAACTTACATTGATTTTTATCAACAAGATTAACTGGTCTTGTTCCACAAGAAACTCGTTCATATTCATTACATTCACGTTTTTCAATATCAAATAATTTTTTTTCAGGACAATTTAATCTTGTTCGTGTACCTTTATCACATACATAATAAGCATTACATTCAGATGGATCAGGTATTGAATAAATTCCAGTTGGTTGACATTCAATAGCTGGTGAACTTCCACTATTATCTTTTCCATTTGTTGATGATACAGCTGATGCTACATTAGATTCAGATAAAACAGATTCAGTATCAGATTTTTTACGTGATGTTGTTGTATCTATGAAAATATTAAAAGAATAAAAAAATTTCGTTGAAATCAAAAAATCTTGTCTTTTTTTTGTGAAAAAAAAATTCATGCCTTCACTAGGAGTACTTGTCGAATAACCTAATTTTCTTTGATCACAATTAACTTCATCAACCCATGCACATGATTTCGTTTTTTCATCCCATGCAGTATCTCTTGGACATTCAAAAACTTCATCAATTCCATGCGAGCATCGATAATATCTCGTGCAATATTCAGGATCACTGATAATAAATAAATCATGCGGTTGTTTTTCTTTTATTCTCACTTGAAAAAAAGATAAAGAAAATATCTTACGCGAAAAATCCATCACGTCCAGCACAAAGAAAATCAGTAGACGAACTTGTTTGAGATATAATTAGAAGAAAAACTGGAAGAGAAGTTCAACACATAGAAAGATAAATATAGAAGTTTAAATAAGAATAAGACTTCATGCACTAGGGTTTGCATAAGATGATGAAAATAAATCTCACAATCTTTACCATCAATTTCTTCATTATTATCAGCATCAAGCTTTCTATTATTTGGCTCTAATTTTCGATGTTTTTTCTTTTTCTTTGTTGTTTTTTTAATAACAACAATAGGTTGCTCATCATCATCTTCATTATTATTATCGTTATGTTCTTCTGTCATGTTTTGTTCATCATCATAGTCAGACATGACTTGTGGTGTTGTTTTTTCAGCACGTGAACAATCAACACTATCAAGCCAATTACAACGATTTTCATGATGATCCCATGCTGTACCACTAGCACATTCAAATTCTTCTGATGTTCCGTGTATACATCGCCAATAGATATGACAAAATTCGGGGTCATAATACCAGCCATCTTCTTTTGCTGAACAATCATATTCAGCAAATGTGTTTTCAAAAAGAAAACCAACTAGAATAATGATGGCAAAGCCAAAACTAAAAGCTAAAAAAAGAGAAGAAGCTTTCTAATTGTAATCTATAAGCGATAGATGAATGCCATTAAATCATAGATTTCTTTTCTTACCATGAAAAAAATAGAAATCCTTAAGAATCATGATCATTTCTAATGTAAAATAAAAAAAAAGATTATCAAATGATTAAGATCAATCCTTTTTTTTATTTCTTTAATATTCTTCTCTTTTTTTTCCTTTTTTCTTTTTGTGCTATCAAATATTAACTAAACGAGACATGATAATATTCAACGTTTACTTACTTTCACAGGGTCGTTGATTATGATTTAGCAATTGCATATTTCCAATATTTTCATTCTTGAGGTGTTTTATTATTCGACAATCGACAAGAAAAAGATGAGAATGTCAAACGATGAAAAAAAAAAAATGCAAACGACATCGAGTAATCCTTGATCAAAGAATGAACCGATTTGTTTATGTTGAACTGCTTCGTTCGAAAGATAGTTATATTTTATCAAAAAGGTCACATTCTCATTGTACTTTTTCTTTCGTAAGTCATACAATAGCTGTTTAATAAAGAAACAATAGAAAGAAATGATAGACATTTTTAAACATAGATCGAACATAAATGTTGTTTTAATAGTTAATAAATAAGTCTGAAAATAACTTATTGTAACAAGACAAGCAACGATAGTCAATTGGTACAAACCAAAAGTTTATCATATTTCGACAACATAGTTTTCAAAATAAAAATTAGCAACATTCTAATACAGAAATCCAATGAAAATTACTATTGTTTTTATAACACAGAATAAGATCCTTCTATCCATAAGATGTTATCTTGTATTTAGGTTTGAGCAAAAGTATTGACAATGTTGCTGACATTTTCATGAACTAGTTAATATTTAAGAGTCTATTACATGAATGAATAGTAGAATGTTTTATCTATAATAATATACATATATAATAACTCTATTGTAGGTTTTGTTCTAATATTCTTATAGGTAGTATCCTATTGAAACAACACAAAACTTTTTTGAAAAATAGATAATGAATTCGAGCGCCACTATATTAAAATTCAGACTATTTTGGGCAACGGCATACTCACGAACTTTAAAATCATGGACCGTTCCCTAGCTAAATTATTTTGGAGATAACTAAGAGTCAAGTTCGTTCGCTGTTTTTTTTTAACTGTTTCACATATGTACTCTTCCAATTTCAAATATTTGAAAAAATTATGTCAAACAGCATAAATAGAACCATTAACGAGTTCAAATGGAATCAAGAACATTCTAACAAAAGAATACCATTGATTTGGCATCATTGTAAACAATGACATAATTTGAGTCTTTGTACATGCATGCATATCAAGACTTTTCGACATTGGACAGTTGCTTTTGAATATGTCAGTGATCGTTCAATGGTTCCATCCCTGACTATATCATTGATTTTGGAAATAAATACAAAGACAACTCATTGATAATACCGAGAAACTATTGCCGATATATTGATTGGTATACTGTGCGCGATACTGACAGCTGTTTTTTTAAACTGTTGCACCATGGTGTATTGTAGCAAAACCGGTGTATATTTTTGAAGTGTGGTAAAACTGACAGAATTTATTCGTGTTCGATGCATTCTAATTAAAGTTTACGTGTCTGAATCGTCTGAAATAGTTAGAGTCAAAAAAGGGTCCCACTTATGAGATAAATTTTTATTAGTAAAACTGTTTTCTTCTCGATTAATTTGAATTTCGTTCAATAAGTAATTCGAATTTGAATAGAAAACACTTTGCAATCGTTTATAGCTGGAGTCGAAAGTCGTAAGCACTACCACTATTAGTGTGAACCAATGTAAGACATAGGTTCGCATATAGGACTCAAAGGTGCATGAGGTTCTAATGCTCTATATCATATCGAACAGCTGAAAGGAAGTCAAAGCATTTACATGAGGAAACAGAAGATGTCAATGATGATCTTTGATTTGTTTGCCCAGTTTCTGAGCTGCTTGATGTATGTAAATCTTGAATTACCACGATAGGCTATTAAAAAATATCTCGCGTTTGATTTATGATGATATTTTAGCTGAGACTTCTCTCTCTCGTGTTATAATAGAACGACTTATTCCCGATTGTCTAACAATGACAAAAGTTATATAATGTTAGTAGCTTCATCAACTCAATGATGATGAGACAATAATTTATTATAGGCAAATTGAGTGTAAGTCAACTGACATTACATGAATAAGTGAACGCGAATCATCATCTACTATTGTTGTTTTAAGTAGATGACGTCCAAAAATTTAAAAAGGTATCAATATGATACTGCATCTACTGTTTTCACCAGAACTTGCATTGGGTGATTTTGCACTAAATCAGTATATCAAGTGTGGAGTAACTGATCAAACAAATCAAGAGTTATTGACTCGTGCGGTTTCGAAGATAGTTAAAAAAGATTCCAGAAGAAGAGTTTAAAAAACGTTTGACAAATTGTTAGAAATCATAGCGCTTTATATAAAATAATTATGGCAACTATTTTGAATATTTAATAAAATTAAATTAAAAATCTCTTTAATTTCATAGAAGGTTTTCAGAACGATGGTCAATTCTAAGTAGAAGGTTGAAATTTTTCATCAGATATATATGTATAAATACAATTATTCAATGGACATATAAAGTCAGTAAATAGTGATGCTAAATTTACTGATATATGACAAATTGGAAATGTATCAGGTGCTCTGAATGTGAAAGTTTACGACAAAATATTTGATGCATCATTACAATTAAACAAAGAAAATGCACAACAATAGAGAAAATTTTCGAAAGACATATAGACGAAATATTTTATCAATTACGATTGGTAATAGAAAGCAATGGAGAGCATGTTCATATAGATTGATTTTTATTATAATTTACGTTTTTGAAAAACATTTTCCTTGTAAAGTTTCTTTCCATCAGATAATTATAAATACCTTTAGTCAAGAAATAACCATGTCACAAAAATGAAGTATAAAAATTCATGTATTTTAGACTCTTCCACTAGTTTTAACTAGAGAGATGAAACTTTGAAATATTAATGATCCTGGTTAGATATATATCATGAAAAGGTCAGTCTTCTATGTCAAGAAAATCTATGAAAAATATACTTGCCAACTTATCGTAAGTTGTTATGAGGTTATTGTTATTTAACAAAGCAAAATTTTTCTTACAATAAAGTCAACGAGTTCTTCACACGATTCAATTAAAACAGTTCACACCAAAATTAATAATATTTCAAAGAATACTCGACCTGACTTAATTCATTAATAAAACGAGTCATACTATAAATGTCCTTGTAATAGTTTGCTATAAGAATTTAACTTTAACTCCCTTTATTTATCTTATGATTCATCATATAAAATGATAAAAGCATTTTCTTCATGTATTATTACTATATCATATCCACTTCATCATTGTATTCAATAATTGTCATTTACAAGGTTCTAGTCAGAGGCGTCAAAGCGAAGCGTGACACCTCCCTTATATTGAAAAATTTTCATTCTTTTCCAATGAAGTACCAATATTTTCTTGTTCTTTTCTTTTGCTCACTAATTCTCAAAAGCACGCTCAAGTCTCTTTTCCTAATCTGGTCAATCTTATCAAAAATCTTCCAATTTATCTCCAAAATCATCGAGCTCACACTCTTTCAATCCTAGCGACCTTGAAATGTTTGGTTCCTATTTTTAATAAACATGAACATGCACGAACATCATATATTTGTGCCAGCTTATCTTTAATATTTGCTTTTATATTATTGGTTAACAGTTCAACCAACTAAATAGACTTGTTATGACTATTTATTTTTTTGCAAAACAATTTTTCACACATCATCACATAAAATAAAAGTAACACTATTTTATCTAGATAATTTTTCCTCTTTCTATATATACTAGTTAATATTTCTTGTCATGCACTATTACGTTTGTTTTTCTTTTTTAGTTTGATTATTAGTTTTCTTTATATAGTTTTCATGACTCAACCAACTCAAGAAAACGAAGCTATAGTTCGTCGTCTGAGTGATGATATTCATCAATTTAAAACCAGCCATCATTTACCTGATGATCTTGAATCGAGTACTTATTTTTATTTTAATGCTATGCTTCTTTTTTTTTTTTTTTAAAGAATATTCTTTTGTTTTTTTAATTAGTGACTGATGCAATTAGTCATCTTCAAAAACAAGCTCAAGAAGTAATGCGTCAAAAACCAAAATGGCAATCATATTTTCAAGGACAAATGATAACAAAAGATGATTATGAATTTATCTCTAATTTTGATCAATTAAATGCAGACGGACGAACTAAACTTTTATCGGATCCTAACGCAAGAAATCAAGTAAATAAAAATGCATAATTCATTACTAGAGTCAGAAATAGGACATTGCACTTACGAGGAAGAGTCCCCAACTGATCAATCGCTTTTGCGTCGAGGCTATGTACATTATGTAGGTACAAATGAGCTATAAATACCCTAAAAAAGTTTGGGCTGCTAGCTTGTTGGTACGAAGATACTGCACTTTTACGGTATGCTTTTAAATGAATGCCGTAGTCGCCCTCAGGAACACGAGAAAAAATGATTTTCGAATTTCAACTTGAAACTTTACGTAGAAACAGACCTTACTGAAAATAGTATTTTGTGAAAATTTCAGACTTTTTTTTGCTGTTGCTATTCGTAGATACAGATATGATAACTTCATTCGGATAAACCAAAAGATTTCATGCTCTCATTTCAGGATAGGAATAAATCAAAAGATCTGAAACCTTTATAAAATACTATTCTCAGTAAGGTCTGTTTCTACGTAAAGTTTCAAGTTGAAATTCGAAAATCATTTTTTCTCGTGTTCCTGAGGGGGACCACAGCATTCATTTAAAAGCATACCGTAAAAGTGCAGTATCTTCGTACCAACAAGCTAGTAGCCCAAACGTTTTCAAGGGTATTCATAGCTCATTTATACCTACTTAATGCACATAGTCTCGATGCACAAGCGATTGATCAGTTGGGGACCTTTCCTCGTTAGACAATTTTCAAAACCAGAAGATCTGATGTTGTATGAATGAATTATAGTAGCAAGAGGAAGATATCATGCGTTTCTGATCTTCAATCAAAATATGAATATTATTTTTTTTTAAATTTTATTTTAGTGTGCGAAAACATTTTTAACATTAATGTCAAAATTATTTAAACAACAAACACTTAGATATTTACTTACATTAATGGATCAATGTCTTCGAGTAAATTTATTAAATAAAAAAAAAAACAAAATCTACTATGAAATTCTTTTTTCAATAGGAAGATAAAAGTCGTG